AAAATTACATACCATTGTATGTAAATATATACACGTATATATGTCACTATACATCACTACATCTCATCATATATAATTATATGTCACTATAACATCGTGTAAGTTCTATAATAACATATCATGTCAGAATGATGTCTTAAAAAATATATCACATGCTATCATCATATTGCACCATATGTGTCATGATTACGCTTGCTGATCCCCTCATATACACCATGGATACTTACATTACATGGTATACATTAGGTATTGGATGTTTAGAGGTGTATCTGATAAATATGTTGATGATCTTGTTGTACTTGATAATTCTATGGGGGTGGGACCTAACAAAGATGGGATCACCTATTGCTAAGTGTTATCCTCTGGTAAACGTTAATAAAAAACTATGGAAAATCAACATTCTTTATGGGTAAATCAACTATTTCTATGACCATTTTCAATAGCTATGTTATGTTTGTTGGTTTAAAAACCATGATCATCCCCATGAACTAGTTCGTTATATCATGTTATATTTACCATAAACCATAGTTAAACCAGAGGGTATCCTTTAGTGCCACCGATCGAGCTGCACCTCTGACCGCTGTGCTTGGCCGCATGAGCGTCACCGGGCACCTCAACTCACGGGACGGTCGTAAATATGACCTATGACCGGTGATTCTCATATGTCTTATATGTATTTTATATAGATAGATACATTAAATCAATGATATATATATACTTATATGTGATATATATATACTTATGTATGATATATATATATACTTATATATATATATACTTATATATATATATACTATCATTATATATGGTTATGTTGTAAATATAGAATCATGATAACAATATTGACATGATATAGAATGATATACTGTAAATATATCATGGGATTAACACATAATCTTGTGGATTATCATGGGTTTAACATAGAATATCATTGTAGTAAATGATAATCATGAGTGACATCATGACATCATATACATGGCTTATCAAAGAATGATAATAATTTAATGCGCTTGTATTACCCAAAAAATGATGTTGATAAGAAATTACCAACCAGAAGAGTTCGGCCATTGACCAAGCCCTGTTGGAGCTGGAAACCGTGTGCTGACTGATGGATTTACAGAGGATAACCACCAGCAACCACTACATAAATCATGGTGAACGGATGTAAATGGTATAGTACAATTACGGCCAGGAGTCGCCGTTTGCCCGGGATGCAATTCACGACGTCGTGACGAAGAGCTAAAACCACGGAAATTCCCGTACAAAATGACTGTTGCAACATATCTTCAAATGGTTTTGTTGGAGATCGAAAACGGCTTTTGGATTTGTGACTGCTGTAAGGGTCTTCGAAAACTTGTTTTCCAAAACCCCTGTTTGAGCTCTTTTTAAGCATCTTTGGTTTCCTCCACATAGAAGAACGGCATGACACACTCAGGCTTATTGAAGATCTTCAATGAGTGTAGAAGTTTAACGGGCATGGGGGAATTAAACCCTTATTGAAGATCTTCAATGAGTGTAGAAGTTTAACAGGTGTGGGGGAATTAAACCCTTATTGAAAATCTTCAATGAGTGTATAAGTTTAATGGGGGGGAGTTAAACCCCTATTGAAAATCTTCAATGAGTGTAGACGTTTAACGAGGGTGGGGGAGTTAAGCCCTGATTCAAGATCTTCAATGAGTGTAGAAGTTTCACGGGTGTGAGGGAGTTAAACCCTCATTCAAGATGTTCAATGAATGTAAAAGTTTAACGTAGGACCATGGGTAAGTTGGGACAGTTTAGGGTTTGGGCGAACGGCGGCGCCTGAGCCTACAATCACCAAACTCTAGCCACCTCTATTTTCCCCAACCAACAAGTCATTGGGTTTGGCTTACCTTCAACACGTCACCTCTGAGAAAATGGCTGCAATTTCAACCGCTCGTCTCCAACACGTTCAACGCCATCTACGCCATGATGAGCCTTGCCTGGTGCGATTTTTTTCGCCGGTTGAAACTGCTAAATTTACATTGGGAACTGAGGATAATGCAGGTGGATCTGAACATGGGGATACCCATGATTTATAGCAATTTGAAGGGAAAAATATGAGAAACCACGGGATTTGGGGTGTGGAAAATCCAGGAACATCCAGCATGTTTCAGTCGTTTTCCTGCCACGCAATGGCATTTTGTCGCATACATCGGTGAGTTTTTCCCAAAGAAATTCCCCGCAGCAACGACTCACCGTGACTTACCCAGCCTTGCGCAACGGATTCTTGCAACAACATTTGGATGCGATGAAGACACTCCTGGAGTGTAAACCATCCCCATCCCCTTTCCCTTCTTCAAATCCAGGGACCACAAAGGCCAGATATGCCAGACTCATTACAGCCATGCTTATGTATATACTGTATGTACATATATATATATATATATGTATATATAACATGCGGCATATATATATATATATACAATATACATATATTACGTGTGTATACGTGTGTATATAATTGTTATATATATATATGCATAATTGTACATACACACAGAGTTCAATTGTACACAATCTAGATTATTTCAAAATGTTCTGTGTGAAATCCAGCTGTGAACACATCTGCGGAGAGCGCGCCCTCCTGGTATCCATCCTCAGGAACGAGTGGTGCCAAATCTTTGGGCCGAACCGGAAAAGTCCTGCCCAGACCCCCCAGACCCTCGCCACGACAGTGGTCGACTTTACATGGTCTTTGGTCTTCTGCAAGACTTCTCGGTTCAAAAGAGTTGTTGAATTGCGAAAATCAACCGGAACATCGGAAAATCTACAGGAAAAAGCTGTCCTTCAGATATTTCATGGGGAACAAACGTGGAGCTGTCCTCAGATTTCCTCCAGATTTACCGCCTTTCCTACAAGACACGGCTCCATGTTCTCTGTCAGGACCCAACTCAATAATGATCTTACACAGTCATATCTCATATCTTAGTAATATATATATATATATGTAATATTAATATATTTTTATCTGACCACGTGTCCATTATTTCATCAAACTCTTACTCTCAGAAACACCTAATCCAGTCTTGTCAGTGTCCCCTTCAAAAATAGCAAAACTGCTGGTGTCCCCCGCCCCCCAAGCAGCGGACAGTCCTCACTACTGCCAGCATGTAGTCGCGCCTGAATTGTCCATTTTGGCATGCAAAAATCTCTCCAGAGGCAGTATCCACCAAGACATTGATATGTCCAATTCATCAATTCTGCTGTGTTGTTTGCCACAGGGCAAATGTCTTAGTCCGTTAGTCAACTGCTTCATCCACATCCTCCAACAAAAAAAAAACTGACCTGGAACCAAGGTGGAAACTTGAGTGAATCGAAATGTGGAGGAGACACCATCATAAATTATAATAGATGTGGAGGATAACAATCATGTTGATGATAGTAATATAATAGATGAAAATTGGAAAATCGCAAAATGGATAAACCAGTGAATTTAAGGGGTTTCCCTGCGAGGTTTTCAGACAAACCGGTATAAACATTGTTGATCATATTCTTGGCTATCTATCCCATCATATTCCATTGGTCAATCCAATAATGGAAAATCCCATTATGTATACCCCCATTATATTATCATTCTACCCCCGTTATATCCCCATCATATCCCCAATTATGTAAATATTCATTCTATGCCTATCATATTCCAAAGTTTGCGAGTAAAATCTGCTCAACAATCCCGTTTCCACGCAACATTCCCTGGGAGAATCGCACTCCGCGTGGTCCAAAAAATACCCTATTTCCCATCCCAAAAATGCGCAAGAATTCTTCTGTTAATCATTCCCACTAAACCAGGTAGTCTAATCCCAAGGATGATCTAATCCCACCAGGTTTTCCCACGAACAAACGGCGCCATCGTTCGGAGTGGCTCCGAGACAAACGGCGCCTTCGTTCATCCTCCGCAGTGATCTCCACGGTGTTGCTCCCGCGCCGGAGATTGGCCTCAACGGAGTCCCGAAAACCGGTGGGTGCGGGAATTGTGCTTCGGAAAAGCAGGGGAAAACAGTGGGTTTTGCGGGAAAATGAGATTTTAATATGTTTCAATGGGATTCAATATGGAACTCAAAGGGATAATGGGATTCAATGGATTTCAAATAGGATTTAATGGGATGTTGAATGGGCTCTAATGGGATTGTTACTGGGATTTTGAACAGGGATTATGAACAGGGACTATACACTGCTTTCATGGGATTAATGTGGGCTAATGGGGAAAGATTCGGAAAGATCTCGAACAGGTAATTACTTTTCATCTGGCCTCTGAAACTCACTTTTCACGGATATAATACAGCAATAGTTCCCAAGTTGGAAGAGTCGAGTTGCTAGTTTCGGCCATCCAAAAGTTGGATGTGTGTAATTCTCAAATGCTTTGGGTATGCTGAGATAAATCCGTTGGAGGGGTCACTTCAGATCTTTGACTCTGAAAAAAAACTTTTACACAAGCCAAGCTGAAAAAAGATCCAACACAAAAGATACATGCAAGGAAACGGCACACTCCACAAATTTCTAGAGAGCCACTTCCCATTCCTTCCTGTGATTCTAACGCAGTGAGGGCTGGACAGAAAGGCTTTGAGGCACATCTCGACGTTTGTGCCTTGTACAGCTTGGTAGCCCCCTATGGGGCCACTGATGCCCCTGAAGAAATCAACATCGGCAACATGGAAAATCAGCCTTCCCTTCTGAATGGAAAATCAGCCAAACTTTAAGATCTTCAACCCAGCCAAATTTGTCCTTAGTAGGCTTCAAAAATTGGCAATATGAGTTCCGCCCGACCAAAAATAAATGATGACACATGATTACCATTCCAAAAATGACCTGGTTTCTTTTTTGCTCCCCTGGGTCTTAAATTATGACATGGACATTCCATTCTTAGTACATATCCCCATGAAATATTGGCTTTTATATCCCCATCATATTCCTATGGCATTGATCGCCATCAGATTTACCGGCCAACCATTTGTGGGATCTTGAGCTTCAGACCCCCTCAAGGGCACCTTGGTGGTGAAGACCTCGATGAAAGGATGGACGCGGATGTTTTCATGAGCTGGACTATATGAAAGGATGATCTTTGAAAGGATATGAAAACAACTTACAATATTCAAAGATATTCAATCAAACATTTATATTCAATAATTCAATCAAACATTTAGCCACATAAAACTATACATATTAGTATGTAGCCAAATGTTCTTCGAATAACCCCTTCCCCCTAAGACTAAAAGTATCCCAAATATTAAAAAAAACTAGGGACCATGTCCAATTTTGGGAAAACCGTAAAATTTTAGGTTGGTCAACTTGATTCTCAAGTGATCCCCTTTAGAAATTACAGTTATCTAAAAATCAAGGTCCTATTTGAGGGTTTCACCCTCTGATAATTGAAAGAGAAATAAAACTTAGTTAAACCCGGGTATCTTTTAAAATGATGGTCCGCCTTTTAAAATCGTTTTTTTGGTTCTTTAAATTAAATCAAGGTTTTGAATTCAAATAAGTTAATATTAGGGGAAAGTTTCGAAATCCAATTTTTGGCAATATTGTACTACTCCAGGTGCGCATTATTGGGGGGGGTCCCCGTTTAGTACTACGGGGAAGGGATCATCTTTGAAGATGTTTGAATATTGAATGTGTTCTTGCTTAAAGGATTCTTCAGACAAGAAAACAAGCTATCATGGCTGGTCCACTGCAATCTCAGTGACAGTTGAAAGCTGGGGCCATTCAGTTGCCCACCTCGTGTCCGTTCACTTCCACGCTGAGAAAGCTGGGCCAGACCTGGATGGCGTCACTATGTCAATCTGACCATCTTTCTTCAGCTTCCGTATGCTTCCGTGTTGTTTTCACCATATGGAGGTGTCCTAAGTCATGGCGGTACCCCGGAACCATCCAGTCCTCGGACGATTTTGGCATTGAAACCCATAGTTTTGGGGTACCCTCATTTTAGGAAACCTCCATGTCTCCACCCAGTACTACTTTTTTGTAGTAGGACTCCATGTTTGGGTTGATCAAGTTCCAGTTCTTGATGGTCGATATTCACATTGTGGATGGTGAGTGTCCAGTTATCAAAGGATATTACCAATCCTCCGATCAAGATGGACGACATTCTCCAAGGATCCCTTCCCAAAAAATATCAACCCCCCCCAGAAACCATGGCTTTAAAAGTGTAGTAGGGGATGCACATATTTGTGGAAAATCGTACACTGCCGGCGTTTGATCTTTGCCTGGGACCTTTTTCAAAAGCCTTGTGAAAGAATGGTTCACCCATGGTGTACCCATGGTTAACCACACACTTTAAGCAAGCCCAGGCCCCCGGTATGGCCATTTTGGTTTATATTCACCCATGAATACTAGTTCAATACATACCCCTCAACCCAACATTCAAGTGATGTGCGTCAACTTAGTTGTCTTGGTTATAGTTATAGTTGGTTATGAAATTAGCTATAGTTATATCATGTTATATCTAACCATAGTACATAACCATATATATATATATAACCTATATAACCTACAAGATGGGGCCCCCGAGATAGCGTTCAGTTGGTTTATAAGTGGTTTAACTGTGGCTTATTGTAGATATAACGAACTACCGTAGATGGACGATGAAATCAAAACCTTGCTGTATTGTTGTCAACCCCCGCACCCCCAAATTTCAATGTTGTCTTTGGGCTCCGCGCTTGGCAGCGGTGGACAAAAAAATCAAACCCTGAACACAGAGGAAGCTAGATAGAGTTTTGTTCAACATTGAAATTTGGTGTGTGGGGTTTTACTTGGTAGATGTCTGTAGGGTTTGATTTGTTTGTCCATCTACTGTATTTCATGGGGATTCTCATGGTTTATAAACCAACTGATAACATAGCTATTGAAAATTGCCATTTATAGTTGATTTACCCATGAATAATTGTGATTTTCCACAGTTATGTTAGTTTACCAGAGGGTATATACATATATATAACCATATATATCCTATATATCCTATATATCCTATATATCCTATGAGCCACAGATAATCATAGTTTTCACTAGCCTGTTGGAGGCCTTGCGACTCCGACACGCGCCGCCTCGGACCACATGAAAAAACCGGGACATCCCCGAAGGAAACGGAGATTTCAATGGGAAAATCATGGGAAAATCCATCTACAACTGATTTATAAATGCTGTTTTCCACCATAAATTCACCAGAAACAGGTACCAAACACAAGAAATGAAAAGGCCATGGGGAAATGGCGAATTGTTACGACTTGTTGTCTTTCGGAACAGATCGCGGCTGCGAGGTTCTTACAATTCACCCATGTGAATCGCATATGCCCCTACTTATCCTCGCTCTTGAAGTTGGTTTTACATAGGGAATGCCGCAAGCGCTGCAAGGGTAAAGACTGATCCAAACGAAGAAACGACTGGAGCCATTGAATAAGACTTTTTGTGGAGTACCTTCTGGTAAACGAACATAGCTATGGAAAATCTTTATTCTAGTAAGTAGGCAAATAATCTTATAAATGGTCCATTTTGCATAGCTATCTTACTGGAGAATATCTACAGTATCCCAAGGGATCAACCACCCCAAAAGATCAAAAGCATTTCTGGTGGTTGCAAGCCGCAAAAGAACAAATCAGTCATTTTCATAGTCATCATCCTAAATAAGATAAATAGGGGGGGGACATCGAAAACTGGTGGTTTCCACCTCCCGAAAAATACTGCTCACCAAAAGGGATCATCAGGCATGGACTATTGAACATATGTCAGCTATCGCCAGCCAGAAATTTCAACATGTTTGAGGATCGTCATCCAAAAGTAAGAGAAGATTTTTTGAGGATCATCTGATCATCATGATACCCAAGATCACTTTAACATATCCCTTATTTTAGATGGTTAAAGCCCCACAAGATATCCCCTGCATGGTTCAATCCCCGATTAGATGGTTCATCCCATTCCCCTATTGAACACCCCCTTAGATGGTCCGAAATGTGTGTAAATCCCCTATTAAACCATTGTTTCTCGGGTGTGTGTAGTATTAGGGGGAAGGGATTCTTTTAGATTATTAGAAAACAATCTCTTATCAGACCATGGTTAGCCAAAACAATCCCCCTTATTTAGATGATTATTAATGTTATGATTAATTGCTGGGTAGATCTAGTAGATCCCCAATATTCCCATTCATATTCCATTAATAATATATTACTTATGATTTTCAATGGGGATTTCTTATGGTCCCCCAGCGGCCCGCCTTCGCAGGCCCCTCAGTTCCACTTCGAAGCCGTCCTTGCGCCACTGCCGCAAATCGGCCACCTGGATGGAATTCTGGTGCTGAAAACCCATCAAAAATGGTGCTTTAACCAGCAATGAATCAGAAGATCATGGGTTATGATTCGATATAACCTGATAACAGTGATTCATCAGTGATATATCAGTGATTCATCAGTGATATATCTGGAAATCGGAGTTTCACTGCATTGGCTTAAGCGAAAATCTGCAGGAGACCCATGGATTTTCAGCAGTAGTTATAGGGGGTTCCGGTTTCAATTTTCCCATCATCCACTTCTCGGAAGGAATCAGCCAACTTGGCAGCGGTGAGAACTGCCTCACACACTTTCCCACCATGGGATGTTCTGTTTCTCCATATCTTCAAGAGCATGTTTTTTTGGCCACGTTGTCTCTCAAGAATCTTCAGCGGATTTCAGTTCACGATGAGTTGGATCATCTCGCTTTGATTCCGCAATCGCAACTCGACAACTCGACAACGGTGAACGGGGCACCAACCGCTCCATTAGGTTGCTCGTGAGGCACCCGGCATGCAGAAAATGGCGGTTTAACATGTTTAACTTAGTTTAACCATCTAATATGGAGGTTTAGCCATTCAAAACCATGTCATGTCATGGTCATGTCATACATTTCCATGAACAAAGGCAGCCACCATCGGCCATCGCACCTCCAAATCAAAGGTGAGCTGCCGACCCGGCAGCACGGCCATGAACATCACATGCTCCAACTGCCGTCAACGGTTGTGGTGGATGGGCCCGGATGGGCCCGGGCTTAGTGTCATGGCAAGTCCATTGCCGTTGGGCAACTCCTTGGAACCTGACCTTCTGAACGGCACCCAAGCTCAAGGCCTCACGGACAGGCTTGAAGGGGTCCATCTCTCTAAAGCAACACCTTGGTGCGGCTGGTGCCGCCAGGGACCCCTGATGGCCAAGACATACACCTGGCACAGGTCTATGGATTGCAGGTTCTTGTGGTCAAGGGATGTCAAGGGCTAGGCTAGGCTAGACTCTTGACATCGGCCATTGGATATGATTGGATTCCCGATGTTCACTTGCTCCTTGGACTAGCTTCAAAAGGTGGACTTCGGAGACTAGCCAAACCTGCTAAAGTTGCCAATTAATAACATCAAATATCAATATCAATTAACATCAACTAATAGCAAAAGAAAACCCTGAACTCATTAAAGGCAAGGTGGCTGCACCTGTCCCCCCTTACTCTCCATCTCAGTGGTCCCAGCCCCCCCCCGTGGCAAGCGGCGCGTTGCACAGGGGACGCTCGGGGAGGTGTCTCAGCCTGGCCAGGGATATGTCAAATAGATCAAGGAAAAGGAGTTCAAAGATGCTAGTAAGAATAGCCTTAGTACCTTAGTACATCTTGACATATCTTGACATATCTTGATATATCTTGAAACTAAACACCTAACCACAAGACATATGGTTCCTCTTCTCCCAATCTCCAATGGCGCCTTTGCTCCAGCGGCTGCAAAGGTCTGCGGCACAAGGTGCAGGGCGTCCCCTCTGGACTGACGCCTTCAATATCTCGCAAGTTTCCCAGCTCTTCCTTTGGCCAAGAATTGACAGCCACCATTTGGCCATCATTTGATGCTGATTTGCAGTTTGATTCTGAAGTTGGTACCACGTAGTTTTCTACTCGTTTCTTAGGGGGATGGATCTTCAAAGTAGTATTTGAGAAGTAGTTTTTCACATGACTTTTTAGGGGTGAGGAGCGTGGGTCAGTGCAGATGCCATCATGGGATTGAGAGGTTTGTGGATGTACCGGGATGTACTTGGATGTAGGGACGCAAACGTAAACTTGACGGTCCCCTAGCATTCCTCCTCTGGCAACGAGTTTGAAATCTGGCGTGGTTCATAAATCTTTGCAAAAAAAGAACCACTTCCAACCACATAATTGGACCTAGAGCAGTTGCATACAATCTACCCTGAAGTCTACCCTGCCATAATCATCCAGAATCCGCTGGAAAATCACCAGCAATAGTTAGTCCAATTCTAGGGGATTTCCCATGGTGACCGAGAGCCCCATTCTGGTCCTGGACCACGACATAAAACGCATCGCGTCTGAAATAGCCTACGTGTTTCCTTTTTCAGTTGTGATAAGTCAATATAATTCCAATATGTTAACCTTTACATTAGTGTTTATATGCTAACTGTTCAGCCCACATTGAAATAGTCACTAAAGAGTCACAGTACCAATTCCTGAGCTCCAGTCGAATCATCGAAGCTGTGGGATTCACCCGTTCACCCCTTGTGCCATAAACAAACACCAGTTTTTGTGATGGCACAAACCAATTATGGTCACTCATTGGGGATAGTTTATGGCATTGGGGCACATGTTTTGGAAAATTCTCCTCGTTATCCCTAGTTCCTGTACTGGAAAATCACCCATTTCTAGATTCAATCAAATCACCCATTTCTGGATAATAGAAAATCACACGTTTGTTTACGATTTTATCAGTACACAATGCTATTCTCCATTGTTTGATTGTCGTAGGTCATGTCAATGCTGGATTCCGATCAAAATCTCTGGGGTCAACATGAGCAGTTCATGTTTCATTCTCTGCAGGTCTTGGAATCCACCAGTTGAGAAGGTCAAGAGCTGTTCTTTCACACATGGGGATGGGTCAAAACCCTGGTACCTAGTGAACCCCAAAATAGCTGGTAAATGGATGTTCATCTCACTAAAAATGTATCTATAGGTATTGACCCATACCCACATTTCATTCTTCAAATATCAAATGTGTATAACGAGCTCTAGTCTAGCAGAAGTTTCACTGAAACCAAGAAATCGAGGTTGAAGGAAACACACGGCAGTCGCGATACCAATCCTTGTCTTCCTCCTCTCCATTGCACTGCATGAGTTCGCTCAGTAGATCTCATTGGAAGATGGCTATTGCTCATCGTAAGGGGCACTACCAAAACCAAAACCAATGGCCGTCTCCAGTAGTTCAATGGCTCTCCATTTCTTGGAGGTCATTTCTCGCGGTTTTTGTTGTCATATCGTCACATCATGTCACGTCATTCTTGGGCCAAATCAGTTGAAACAATTGAATTTCAAATCATGATCATCTAGCACATAGTGGACAACTCGGAAACTATGATTCATGGTCTTCATATGGGTGTGTCTGAAAATGTAGTATAAATTCAGTGATCGCCATTTAAATCATTAAATAGGAGGGAGGCTGGTGATTCACCAACAAATTTGGTTGCTTTCCCTAATTTTTCAAACAGAACCATATATACAATATATATATATATGTATATATATATATGTATATATGTATATATGTATATATATATATGTATATATATATATATGTATATGTATATATGTATGTATATATATACATATATAGAACTGAGGCTATGTCATAATGTGATTTCCATATACAACTGGTATAATATGGCTATTACTAACATATTCAGCTGCTTCACTGAGCCAGTGCCAACTGGAACCAGACACTCTTGCATGGTGCGAGACTCAGGCAGAGCTAGTTCAATGTGAGTTCAATGTGCAAACACCATATAAAATACCCCAGAGATATACATAGGATAAAACTATATGATATGTTTTGTATATACATATATAATCATATATATATATTTAGGAGTTTTAGGCTTATAAAATGTTACAAACCATGCATCCACTTGCTATCTCCCGATCCAAAAGTTCCCTTTTTTCTCACGTTCATTGACATATCTCGATGGCGTCGCGGTGACGCTTCGGGGCCTTAGTAGAGCAATATGTCGGGCTTTCGTTGCCACAAGGGAAGTTGTGGTAAACCAATGGTGTTTACCAACTAACTGGCAATAATGAAACCAATAAACTTGATGATCCGAAGACAAAAAACTTACTAAACCAATCTAAGTAGTGGTTTTATGATCAAGTGAAACTGCAAGTATCCTGACCATAAAGTTTGCTTCCATCCTATCCCGATAGATAATCAGAAAAGGTAGATAAGATATGAAATAAGATTAGCACCACAGGTAAACTTTGAATGATCCAGAGAGGAATCTGGAGTAGTTATTCTCATGGATGTTATATATATATAGTTAGATATAACACACTTAGATTGTATTATACTTAAAAACCGAATTATAACTGGTGGGCGGCTTCCTGTAAGCCACCATTTGTTTATTCTTTCTTGCTCAGCTCAACAAGATATATAATTCGAGGCAATTGATCTATGGGATCCTATGGATTCTTTCGCGATCATTTACCCATTGGTTTCTAGTTGGGAAACAATCACACTATCAATATGAACGCGGCATAAGCTACTGTAGATTTGACTAGGTCCATACCAGTAGTGGTGATAGATCCATACATACATATATAGATACGTATGTACGTGCATAATATATATATATACATAACAACATGTATATATATACATACATACGTATGTAATATAGACACGTGTATATAAATAGAAATGTGTGTATACATTACATACTTGAATACATTCACGTGCACACGTAAATCTCATACTTTCCAGTAAACTAACATAGCCATAGAACATCACCATAAAAAATAATAGGTCAATCATCCAATTAAATGGATGCTAAACCATAGCTATCTAGCAAATTGTCCAGGAGGTAAGTATGTACATGTGACCAGTTTTTAAAACCCTCCATTCATTCTATTATACTGAATGGTTAATAGGGATTCCACTCGATGATAATCCCCTAAATTAACATAACTATGGAAATTCACTATTTCTTAATGGGAAAATCCACTATTTCAATGGCCATGTTCAATAGCTTTTTGTATGTTTACCAGGCCGGGTTTTTCTTGGTTAGTACAATCCCCAAACGCATCAGCTACAGGGCATCATTCATCCACGGCACCCCTCAGCAATTACATTCATCTTCATCTGGCGTCCAGCCTGTGTTCGAGCCCAAGATGCAGTCAAAATGCCACTGAAATGGACAAATAAAATAGGCTTGAAATCGCCAGCTGCTGGGGATCTAGTGGGATATAATATGGGATAAATACATATACTTATTATTCATATGTACATATATATATATATATATATACTGTGTAGATATTTAACATGATCTAACCAACTGAATGTCCGCCATGGTTTGTCGTTGGCCATGTTGGATCAGGGAAAATCTTGGGAAATACCCTCTGGTAAACTAACATGACTATGGAAAATGGCCATAGAAATGGTTGATTTACATAGTAAAAATTGTGATTTTGCCATAGTCATGTTAGTTTACCAGAGGATACACTGTCCAAATAGACTTGAATAACCTTGAATATACCATACTCGGACAATCCGGGTGATCTCTCATAGTAGTATTTTCTCACTGAAAACCGAGATACATCCAGATATGATGGACAAAAGGCACATCGCATTGTTGCTTTGTGGGACTGCAGTATCTGATGATAGAAAATATATAGAAATACTCAGCCTGAATCAGCACTGGTGAATTCGTCCAGAACATCTACTAATGCTACTGCCAATAGAGGGTTGGAAGACTACTTTCGTCTACGTTAGTTGAGGGGATGCTGCTTGGCGCTTCACACCCTTTAGCTACAGTATTAGCTAGTAGGTTATAAACCCCAGGAAGTAGGGTCAGCCCAGTTCTAACTGGGGTGATTTTACCCACTTACTAACTAACAAATTACTGTATATTGTTATATAGCCTTTGATAATCAAACGTGGCAATGGAAAATCCTTCATACATGGAGGTTTCCAGCTCCACGCCCAAGCGACTTGAGCCGGTCTGGCTGCTGGTATCGTCGCTATCTGTGGACAGTTCTTGATGCCCAGTGGAGCCATTGGTGTGCATGGCTTCCTGCCAGAGTGCTGAGCAGCTGAGGGTTGGATGTTTGGAATAATTAAACAGAAAGGTTGCTGGAATCTGCAAACAGATCTTCGAAAAAACGATTGTTTTATTGTTGCGTAAACAAGAAACCGATGGATTTGGGCGTCAAACCACTTATGATCTAAATTTTGCAGCATGTCCCGTTGCAAGTACCACACTTCAGCGTTTGCGGGGAAAAACAAAAAAAGAATAAAAAACAATGTCCCCGGAAAGATTGTACCACAATCTTTGTCCTCCGTCTCTTGCCGAAGGGTTGCAACCTGTCGGACTTGCGCAGCAGCTTCGATGTAGGTGATGGCACTCAAGGGATTCACGATCGTCATGAGGTCCTTGGAAAGTGCCACGGGGCCCTGCACGGGGCCCTGCTGGTAGCTTCACTGAGAAATGATGGATTTTAGGTTTTCATAAACGATATAAATGGGTTTATGATGGATTCATCTTGGATGTCAAAGAAACAACTAAGACTGAATCTGAACCTAAAGATGATGGTGGTATCTAGCTAGATTATGAATATAAATATATATATATACAGTTCACCAATCTGAATAGTTCGGTCATTTTGGGATGCTTCCCTTAATCCATTCCCCATTGCTGGTCACTGGATGCATCCAGGCACTTTGCCCCACGCGCGATTGATAAAGGGCCACGGGCCCTTGTAGTACACAGCCTGGAAAGCAGCCTCAGTCGTCTCTCCACACGGTGATCCATGGTGAATCTGGTGCCCTTTTGTGGCTAGATTTGTGACTATGAAACAAACTCTGCCATCCAAAAAACACCCATTTGACTTCATTTAACCATTGGTCAAGTCCTCCCATTTCAGAAATCAGAAAAGCACCAAGACTTGTTGAGACTTGACTTTCATGTCAAGGCTGCTAAAAATTGTATCCAAGTCACCAGAGGGATTCTAGATGCCATTGGCGAAATGAAGAACCAAAGTAGTACGATGGGGAAACCATCCAGCACCGAGCGCATCACTGTGCCAAAGTTCTCGATCACCTAATTGGGCGGACACAGCAGCAAAAATCTGACCAAAATCCAAAAATGAAGGGGGTTACCTCACCAAATGGGGAATCTGGGAATCACCCCAGAAAATTTGGATTTATTTGAAAAGTCAACGGATTTTTTGGATTTCATCTGCACATTCGGATTTAACCATCGGAAATGGTGAGAGAAGCAAACAAAATTAATACCAATATTATACATGATGGGAATAACTGCTGAATTACCATGGTTGGACGGAAAAGATCAAAGGGATATACTTCTTAGTTAGGACACTTACTAACCAGGGGCACACTCCTCCAGTGACCCATGTCTAACAAGTGCAGTTCCAAGTTATAGGTCAATATAGAACCTTTTTTGGGGGATAATCTCATGACTTATTCGAAATTGAAACCCAAAGGTTCTACCATGTTACCCATTTTTGAGTCCCTCCCAAGCCCAAGTGCGCCCTTCCCCCGCCGGCCTTGCCAGTGAGCCAGCTATACACAACGCCCGTGGCCAGTGCAGCATAGGGAAGCCACGTCCCCCAACCCAGGAAGACCCCATTGTCGCAGTAGCATCCCACCTTCGCCAGCGCGTCGGCATCCGCCGTGCTGTTGTGCAGCACGAAGAGCCCTCAGATGGAAAAAAAAACATGGACCCGACCAAGGGAGGAGGATATGGCTATAATCAACATGGGATTGAACTCAGGTATAAAATGGGATCAACCCTTGTTATACAAGTTATAGGTGATTTGTATGAATCACTTATAGACCAAGTGGGATGCACATCCAACCAAGTTGACCTGCAAGAATGATATTTAATTCATCTCTTCAGGATTCCCGTGGACACACTAAGTTCCAGGACCAGATGGATACGGCTCCAAGCCGGGGTAAAGGAGGCGCAACGCGATTTGGCTCGAAACAGCTGTTTTCCCTCGAGATCTCGAACCCACCACTGCTGCTGCAATGTGAAACGTAAACATGCCGGAATGACCAAAGGTGACATGTATGAACATGCATGAAATGGTCAGCGAACATTTGACATCGGTGGAAGGTGTGTTTGTGCACACCGCATGCATAGTTCATACTCTAATGGTTCTGCCTGTCCAAGCATTGGACACTCCTTCCACTTGTGCCACACACGCCCTCGGGGGCAAATGAAAACATTTGCTACAGCTGCAGCTCTGGCCGCTTGCAGCTCCATGGTGAAATCTTCACATCGTTTCTTCAAAGATCCTACTGTAAGTCGGAGATCCTTTCTGGTTTCTCTCAGAACATCCAACTCACATGCATTCCTACCCATAACCTGTTCATCCCTATGGCGTTGCGCTTTCAGCTCTGCCAGCTCATCTTTGAGTACTTTGCAAAAGTCTCTGAGCTCATCACGCTCGGAAATTACTGTGTCTAAAGACAAACACAGTTCATGCAAATCCGGCCCTTCAGTTGACCTTGTCCTCCGAGAACAAATGCCAGGGCATGCAAACCAAATGAAGGTCAGGAACACCAAGAACAGTGCTAGCGCCAGCGCACAAATGAACTTCATGTCATACTCAGTCGCCACGCTCGCATGTTCAGCTCCTTGCACGATCAAACCAGTCTGCTCGGACACTTGAAACTGTTCAGCAATCACCATTGCAATCAGCGCTCTTGCAGTCCGGGATGTAGATCCATGGGTTTCTTGAACTGTTCTTTCCCTATCAGCTTTGGTCTTTTTCTTGCTTGCTTGATAGCTTTCATCTGCCACAAGTTGAATGTGAGCTCCTCGGAAACGCTCGACAAAAGCTACTCTTGCACCAACCTTTGTCAAACCGTCTGCGAGTTGACGCTCGCTGCTCACCCATCTCCATTGGCAGTTCAAATCACGCAACATGTCCTTGATCAAAAGTCCTTCGATGGCCACACGCTTGTCGGTTGCTTGCTGCACCGTCTCGCGTTTTACAGCATCAAACAATCCTTTGCAGTCTGTCACCATTGCGCATTCATCTCCATGAAGTTGATCACGGGCTTCACGCAAACTGCTGCAGGGATTCTTCAAAAGTTGTAAAAACAGTTTTGCCATCATCAGTTCTTCCAATGCTGTAGAACATGCTTGACATTCTGCCGCTAGTGAGGAACGGCATACTCTGGGTAATTTGAATGATCGCCAGCCAACAATGGAAGCAGGAACTTTCTTGCCTTTCAAAACAGAAGCATCACACGCCATCAGCACATAACCACCTTGTGAAGTCTTGTCACTTCGCACACAGAAAGCTGCGTCTGCATAGCAAACAATTGTCAAACCATCCAAACCAAAAGACTGTGAAGTGCTTGTTGCCAAAAACTTCAAATTGACATCTGCATGGGCTTTTCCAAAACGTAAGGTTTTGTTGAGCTCTGTCAGCTCCTTGATCTTTGCACCTGCCAGTTCTCCAGCTTGAATTGACATTGAAGCCGCCAACATCGGTAAGCCTTGGGTTGCTGGCCACTGTAGTGCACCGATCAGGCCACGCGCTTTGCTCTTCTCATGTTCAGTGATTGGTTGGTCATCTTTTCTGCCTTTCTGTATGGTCACGGGGCTAATGCGCTTCATGTACTCAGCATAGGAAACCTCAATTCCATGCTCATTCTGGACAATGGTGCCGCCACAGTATTTCAAGGAATGTGTTGGGGTCAAAACATCCCATTTGCCAAAGTTGAATTGCTGCCGCAGGCTTTTGACTGCGTCCTGAAAAACTTTGTCTGTAGGGCATCCAGTTACCAAAACATCATCAACATGTAGAATCATCATTCCACGCAAACTTCCATGGCTTGAGTGCTTGTCGTTTGCCACCAACATGAAACAACATTGATCCATGGGGTGTTTGATCCATCCCATCTCTGTCAGTCGTCTGCTGGCCTCTTGATACCAAAGCAAGGGGGCATCGGAAAGACCGTATGCACTTTTCTTCAGCCTCATGAAGACATGCTTTGAGATTCCTTCCAGGTTCACACCAAGTAAGGGGCCACAGTCAGCAGGAAGACGGACAATGATGACTCTGTCAAAGTTGCTACCTGACAGAAAAGCTGCTTTCACGTCGGCACAGATCAATTGCCAGCTGTTCCACTTTGTCAAAGTTAACAACCATAGCCTTGCCTGTCTTGATGCCGTCGGTGAAGCTTTGTTAAGCGTCATCACATCAGGATCCTCATAGCCACGTAAGACAAGTCTTGCCTTTGCTTTCCATTTGGGCACCTCTGCGTTCTCATCCTCGCATTTCCATGTCAGCACCCAACGCGCGGTGATCACACGTTGATCTTTCTCTACATCTTTCTTCTCCTTGTCACTTGCAAACTCCCAAACAAAATTTGCAAAGTAGTTTTCCAACTCTTTCCGTTTTGCATCCAAAGTCAGCTCTTTCTTCAGGTGAGAGAAGTTTCATGTTGACCTCACCCTTGCGCAACTGCACCATGTAGTTGTCATCTAATTCCAACGCACCATCAACACATTTCCAACCATCAGGCAAGTCGCCGCCGTCATCAACCATCATGACGTCAATCACCAAATCATCATCTGCTGTAGGGACAGGTGTCTCGATAGCTGCTTGATTTGCTGCTGCGTCGGCAATCTCGGCTGGGGTTGAAGTTGAAGATCTGGCCACATCACCTCTAGGTTTCTTGTGACTTTCTTCTTCAGGAAGTGCTGCATGCTCTTTGCGTTTTGGTGAACTGCTGACAACTCGTTCTTCAGCTGCAGGTCGTTCCAAAACCATAGGCAAAGTTGTGGAAGCATCAGATGCTAAACGTCGTCTTGGAGATCTTTCACGGCTACGTTCTGAACCATCATCATGTTGTTGCTGTTGAGGAGGCTGTGGGAAAAACATCTGAACAACTCCAGGTCGTGAGCCTTGTGGTGACTCATCTGAAGTCTCCGCATCATGCGGCAGATCACCTTGGTAGATGGACGGTTCATACTCCGCCTCAATCTCGTTCTCATCTCCCATCAGCTCATCAACGTCAGGGTTGCCACCAGCTCGTTTCAAGGCATCCTTGAACTGGGTTGTTGACCTTGCTTTCAGCTCTTCAAGGTCACGCATGGCTGCTGCTCGGTCAGCAGGAACTGCAACACCTGTTTCTTCAACAACTGGTCGAACTTGTCGTGGTCCACAACGCACCAACGAAGTTCCATGGCACAACCACAAAACTTTGGAATCTCCCACAGGTTCTACTGCTACAACTCGTGCGGGACCTCTCCATCTTGCTTTTCTCAAAATGCCAGCACCAGCATCACGCCAGTACCAACACCTCTGGCCTACCACCACTTCATCTCGGTTCTCCACAAACTTCTGGGTAAAAGCTCGGCGAAGTTTTGCATCAGAGTCAGCTCGAATGAAAGCTTGTGCTGCATTCACTCGCTTCTGCTGCACATTTGCAAAGGCTCCTTGGTCATCCAACGCTTCTTGACCAGGATTGAAGATTTCGCCACTTAAACCATGGGTATAGTTCATGGCTTTGCCCAGCACCCATTGTTGCGGTGAGAAACCACGGTGGAAGCTCAGCTGGTTGATGGAGTGAGGCACGTAGATGCATGCTTCTTTCAACGCTGCAACATCGTGTTTGCCGATGTCGTCCTGGTAGAGCTCAAGTGCTCGTCGAACAACTTGGTGTTTCCTCTCAACAATTGAGAGCCAGGAGTGATTCTCCGCAGGTTGAACTTCTAGTTCTATTCCTCTGGAAGCTGCCCACTCACGCACGTGTTTTGAGGCCCATCCTTTGGCTTCATCGATCCTCAGCAAACGAGGTAAACCAAAGTGCTTAATCCATGCTCTCTCCAAACCTTTTGTAAACTCATCTGCACGTTCTGACTTGAGAATTCTCACTGAGCAAAACCTGGTTGCATGGTCAATGATGGTGAGAACACATTGACGACCAGAGAAGGCTTTCTCAGCTTTGTTCTTCTCCCTTCGCTTGTGCGCAGGAGTTCCAGGTGCAGGTTCAGCACGTTTGATGATGCTGTCCTCGCATTGAATCCAGTGAGAATCGACCAAAATGCGGTCATTGAACTCTGTGCATTTCAGGCTTGAAGCAGGAGGATTTTGGAAAGGGGGCTTTCTGGCATAGCACGCTGGACACACATAGTTCTTTGCAGCCTCAAGCACATTGGAGGTTGCCTGAACTTCCGCAAGCATCTTTTCCAGCACGCCATGAGAAGGATGGCCAAGGTTCTTGTGGAGGCGCTGGACATAGTCTACTGCTCTTCCACCAACTCTCTTCCGCAGGGCTTTGTTGAGCGCAACTGGGTCATTCTGCTCAGTCTGCTCAACCTCAACATCTTGTTCTTGTTGTGATTGTTCCCGTTGATGTTGCTCAACCATCTCTGCAAACTCTTCAGCAGGGCTCAGTGCAACATCACCTGCATCGTTGGCATAGATCTCGGCAGTGTCATAGTCCAATTGGGCGCAAATTGCATCCACAATGGCCGTCGCAAGCTCTTGAGGAAAGTCCTCAGCCAGTTTGGACCGAAGTCCGACTCCAGGGATTGAACCTTCAAGTCTGGTGTGTCGATGTTGTCCATCGCATTGGCACTGAAGAAGGTCATGAAACATCTTTCCTGTCGCTCTGAAACAAGTTGGTTTCTGCACTGGGTTGACCACACCGGAGTCATCTGGAAGTTGAAGACCATAGCAACATTGATCCACATGTGTGTCAAATCCTTGCATCTTCTTGAAGGCTTTCGTGCTCCATGCACGTGACTTTCGTGGATGTTCTGCAACTCCAAGCTTTCCATGTCTCCGCTGGTACTCATACACCAAAGCTGCAAAGGTCAGGAGGTTGTCATGGTTCTCCTGTCGCAGGGCTGTCAACTTGGCCATATAGTCTGGGTGTTTGGCCACTGTCAACTCTTGCAACATAGACCACAGCTTGCATGGGGGCATGACCAGGCAACAGTCAGGCTGTTCTTGTTTCAGGCGTTTGAAGAAGGCTTTGCGATGACTCGCAATGTTGAAGTCCCAACCATCTTCTAAGGAAAAACGTTCAGCTTTGCAACCATTTCGTCTGTTCGCTGTCTTGGTCACTCTGCCAGCACCTGCAAAAATCTCCCAAATGACGTAAGGCTTCTTCTCTCCAACATTTCCACCAGTTGAAGCGCAAGACAAGATTCGATCAAACTCCTTCTTGTCCTTGGCAGTCAAGTGCATGAGATGTCGTAGTTTGCCCGGTGGAAGGCTGCACAAGTCATAGTCAAGGCTCTCGTGCTCGTTCTTGGGCTTGTCCAACTCAGCCACATCATCTTGCACAGGTGGTTGTTCTGCCACTGTCATTGGAGTCTCATTGCATCCGCCAGCATTGGTTGTTAAAGTGAAACTGGCATCGTGGGGTTCTTTGAGATCATTGTCGCTCTTGTGCTCTGCAAAAATCAAATTCGGTGAAACTTGCTGTCGATCTTGTTGTAGATCTTGTTCAGCATCGTGATTGGGCTCCACAGCCAGGATCTCCTCGTTGTCCAACAACTGATCCATGCTGTGCTGTACGGGTTGCACATGGCTGTCAAAGTCCTCAGGAAGGTAGACAAACTGGGGTTCCACATCCAGCAAACCATGCACATCAGCTGCCAGGTGAATGACGTACTCACCCTTCAAACCTCTCTCTGCTGGGATCCAAGGGTCGGTTCCAAACCTGATCTCTCCTTGGGCATAGTTGACACTTAAGTCCATGGCCTCCATCAAGGGCCGTCCCAACAGAATTGGCGCCTCGCCTTCAATGACATAGGCCAAGAAGTCGCGCCGCACACCACCAAAGAAAGTGGGGAGGAGTGTGCACCATTGCGTGGTGTTCATGTTGCCATTTCCAAACCGAAAACCTTTGCTGCAACGCCAGACAGGGATTGCATCCACCTTGAAACCAACTGCTTTGAGAAAGTTGACATACTTTCTGAGTTGAAACTTTGATGCAATCACGGAAGCTGCACCACAATCCAACATCGCTGCATCTGAGCTCTCGTCAAGCTTCAGTGTAGATTCTGCAAATGTTACCATCATAGCGTCACCTGCCTCAGTCTCTGCTTTGCGTTTTCCCGCTCCAGCCGTCGGACAGTCTCGTGCCCAATGGCCTGCTTGTCCACATCGAAGGCACTTGCTCGCACCAACTTTTGAACTTCCAAGGGCTGCTCGACCACGTTCTTTGGGGCGTGGAGGAGGTCGAGGCAATTGTTTGGACTTGGTTTTACCCTTGCCCTTAACATGCTTGCCCTTTGAAGATCCTTTTCCACCATGTCCTCGGCCGTCTGGTGCCAAAGCCACAACTGGGAAAAAGCCGCGTGAAACACGAAGCTGTGCCAGTTTCTGCTTTGCTTCGACATAGTTTGCCAACACCTCATCGTACTCGGTCGCTGCATCCTCATGGGCTGCATGTGTCTCTTCACATTCATCATCCTCATAGTATGCTGCTCCCTCATCTGCCCATTGGATGTCATCTTCATCAAGTTCCCATTCTTCCCAATCATCATAGTATTCAGCATCGTCCTCGTAGTAGATGGAGTCTTTGCCATTGCGATTCCATCGTCCTGCATTGGAAGAATGTGCATCAGGAACTGTGTCTTGACCGATGACGAAGTTCACACCTTTGCGGACAGTCTCCAAAGAAAGCTTTTCACCATCCATAGTGGTCATGATCATTTGTCTCTGTTCTTTGCTAAGTCCAGCTCTCCTCAGATACCACCATCCGACAACTTTGTCAGGTAGTTGAACTTGGTGTTGTTGCAACTTTCGCAACGCTCGTTCAAATTCTGCAGAATATTCTTGGATGTTCTGGGACTTGCGTCTCGAAAGACCAATGAAGAACGTCTCAAAGTCTGCAGGTAGTTCAGTAATGGCATCAAATTTGAACACTCGATCCAGTCGCTCCAAAACCAACTTCATACCACCGTCGCCCTCAAGCTCTTGCATGCTGATATCTTCACAGGCATCCCAAGCTCGTCCTTTGAGTGAGCTAAGGACATTGAAGGAAGTCTCGCCACCCCTGTTCGCCAGTTTCATCTTCTTGTCATACAACAGGAGGCGTTTTCTGTACTCCTTGTAGTCACTAGCTTTTCCAGAAAACTCAGGGATATGTTCATGAGCTTTACCAGCATATGTAGTGCTCGCACCCGATCCAGTTGCCATCAGATCAGCTCTGGCCTGCACAAGACCAAAAATCAGATGTTATAAGGACCTGCTCAGGGTCAGCACTTGCAAAAGTAGAGCAACGCAGTAAGAGGACCTGCTCAGGGTCTGTAGGCGAAGTTCTTGGACCTGCTCAAGGTCAAGACTCAGCACAGGCCTGCTCAGGACCAAATTTCAGTCAGTAGTTGAAGCTCCAGGACCTGCCCAGGGTCACACCACAAGCTCCGCCGCCAACTTCAGGATTCCCGTGGACACACTAAGTTCCAGGACCAGATGGATACGGCTCCAAGCCGGGGTAAAGGAGGCGCAACGCGATTTGGCTCGAAACAGCTGTTTTCCCTCGAGATCTCGAACCCACCACTGCTGCTGCAATGTGAAACGTAAACATGCCGGAATGACCAAAGGTGACATGTATGAACATGCATGAAATGGTCAGCGAACATTTGACACATCTAAATTCATAAACTATATGGTGAACCAGGAATGTGCTCAAGTGAGAAATCCCCACGAGACTGTTGTTTTTGCCCGAGCTATAGTCATTGGGGGGGTTGGCAAAAAGGATGAAAAAGGTGTCCAAAGGACTCAACATTGCAGCTTATTTGGACACGATAGCAACTACACTGCACGAAGTTGGCACAACATGCTGCAAAATTCAAGACGTCTGCAATCCTTTCAGCCTTTTCGCCCGTTGAAACCAAAACGCTATGCAGCAACCTCCCAATCCCCAGAGCCTGATTCTTGGTCGCAGGAGCCTAGCTTGATGCCTCAGGGGACAAAGGACAGGGTAGGGCTAATGGGGTGGATCATCCGGTCACCCAGTGGTCATCTACTTTGAAGCGTTGCCCGGCGAATTAAAAGTGCGAAGTGAGTAAACAAACTGTATACACTGTAGGATCCCACACATGTTTGTGAAATTTGGTACCACCAAATGGGCAGGTTTTTTCTGTAAAGACCAGAGTGCGCCGAAAAAAATCCAACCAACTCCCATGCGGAGCTGCACAGAAAAATGTGGCATGTCTCCCCAGCACTTCAAGGCTGACAACTTTGAGGATGATTCCGTTTATGGTTGGGGTGTAACTTGTAATGCATAACTTCTGGTTTGAAACAATTTCCAACCAAGATGGTCATTAGAACGAGATATAAATATATCAAATATTTCATTTCCTACAACTTCTTTCCTGAAGTTTTCATACTGACTTTCCGGATGGTCAGTTGCTAGCGCCTTTCGGCGCCTTTCGGCAAGTTGCAGGTCCAGTAATCGGATGGTCTATAGTACCAATAGGCCAAGTCAGGGCGATGTCCTGTGCAGCGGATCCATTCATTCCATCCCCCTATGGTTGGATGACAAACCACCAACTTTTCAGAAGGAAAGTCAGTCAAATTTCCATGGTTCCAAACCACCAACCAGTATTACATATGCTCAATTCATGTATATAAAATATGGAAAATCCTAGGCAGCAGATTACTTCTGATGACTCATTCCCCATTGATGCTCCAAAGAAATGAAAGTGCTTGCGTCCGGTCCAACTGAGAAGCCATTTGCATCATAGCCAGGCTCAGGGAAGATCTCTCAGTTACATTCATGGAAAATTTATCCGCTGTATGAGCTTTGAAACATCAAGTTTCCCGATTTGGAATAGAGAAAACAGTTCAGTCCTGCAGTTCAAATAAATATATATATATATATATGTGTATTTATATTTATATATATATATTTATCTATTTATATATATATATTTATTTATTTATCCGCGAAACAGAACTCGTATCAACTTGGCTAGCTGAACCACATCTGAGGAACCGTGTTGCTAATATCAAGGAAAATAGCTCCAGAAGAGTCTCCTCAATATCAATACTAAACAGCCAAATCTTGACTTTGTGAGCACATCAGCAACTGTCACAGTGGGCCCCAACCCGTCAGAGCGTCCCTTGATTCCAAGGTAGCCCATCACCGGCAGGAAGGAGATACTCCAAAGAAAAGCACCGAAATCCAGTCGGATCTTGTTGACCACATAAGGTGTATTGCCTTTTTGAAGTGCCAATTCCATGGTCACCGAATACACACCTTGGGTGAACACACCCCAAAATGCTGGGATCGGCAAAGGGGGAAGGATTTCAGATCTCTCAGGTCGCCTGGAGATGCCTGGAGTTTTGAGCCGTCGCTGTGATATACCATGACCATAGCCTGCCATGCCCATTTTGGCCTTTGACATCCTTGGACTAACTTCACAATACCCCTATCAAAGCATGGTGAAACACGTCAAGGGAATCCTGGGAGAGGCCACTGTTACCTGAAAACAACCCGTCCCAAAAGCATCCTAGAGTCAGGAGGCTTACTGCAAGCTAGTTACTATCAAAGTGAGTCAAAAAGAGGTAATAGGTGTCCCTCAATTGGATGAAAAAGGGCATGATAAACACTTCTGAACCTTTCCGAAGCCTCATTTTCAGCATCAAGTTGACATTCAATCCAATTTCAGCCAAAAAAAACATCCAACAAATCATCACGATCACTATCATCACTATCACTATCACTATCATCTTATATATAACATAGTACATAATTACATGTATTTATATATATATCACAATAATATATATATATATATACATACATATGCTCAGCACCTTTGAATGGACCTACCTTTTTCCCATCCTCGCAAAACATACCTTGGGGTAGGTCCATTTGAGGCAGGTGACTGGTTGGTAGTTTCAACCCCTCTGAAAGATATGAAAGTCAAATGGGATTCTTGTTCCCAATCTATGGAAAAAACATGTTCCAAACCACCAACCAGTTATATATATATACATATATATATATATATTAGATATACTGGGGAATCCTATTAATATATGGATGTAGTTACCTCAATCACGGATTCCCCCTGGTTGCGCCAAAGGCACAGGCCATCGAGGCAGAGGCGGCACAGCACAAGATGGCGGCCGCCGAGGAGGGACGCACCGATTGGTTCCCAGCGATGGAGGAGTCCATGAAAGCTAAGGTCACCGAGGCCACGAACAGAACCATCACCTAGGGGCCACCGTTTTTAAGGGTGGAAAATGGGTTAAATATCTATGGTTAATGATGGTTAAATGATTCTTAAGAATCTATGGTTAATGATTGTTCATAATCTATGGTTAAGGGGTTTAATGGGTTAAATATCTACGGTTAATGATGGTTGATGATTCTTAATAATGGTTAATAATGAGCAATATTATATGCACATGTATATAATGATGGGTGTCTCCATAGTCATGGGGGTGCCCCAATAGCTGGATGGTACATAATGGAAAATCCGAAAATCAAATGGATGATTTAGGGGTACCCCAATTTTAGGAAACCTCCATATATAGTGAGAGGCTGTTGTTTAGGATTTTACCAAGAATAAAGATATATTTATTTCGTTTTTCTTTGAATAAGTGAGTTGTGGATTTAGATTATATCGTAAAGACCATGTTATTGATCAGACCCCATCAACCCCATTATATTGTGGTTATATTGTGGTTTGTGAGATATTTCCCATCAACCCCATCACCTATCGAAGATGGCAGGATACTGCCAGGAGATGGGGAGCAGTTGATGCACATGACTGCTGAAATAACTTGTTTTACAAACGTGTTTTTACGTGACTGCATTCGGCTTCGTTGGTCGTTGGTTTCTCTTGTTTTATTTTTTTCGTTTTGGCTGACCCTCCTTCCTCTGGGCTCCAGATGGGACCAAGCAAATTGTTCCATTCATTCTGAAACCTTACACTTGCTGAGAAGCTCTATGTAATCAATCAGATTTGCTTTTTGCGAAAAAAAAAATGTCTTGGTGTTCAATGAGAAAGTTGGATAGCAACAACAATTTCTAAATATATTATACAAAAAATAATAATAACAAACCTCAAAACAGTGCATTTTTAGAAACGTGGTAAACTGGGGCCCTCCTGACGTCCTTTTCTGTTTTCTGCTTGGTATCCCATTATACGTCCCATTATACGTTCATTCATCAGACCCCCCCATGTTATCATGTTCATGGGTTGTAGAACTGCCAAGGATCTCACTGCTCAGCCAATCTGCTTGGTGGTTTCATGAAAACCTCTGAACATATTTGTCCAGTGTCGAGTCAGGTCATTTTGGGATCATCCAGAAATATGGATCAAACAGAATATGAACGAAACCACCAACTACGTATTATTTTTGATGGGTCTGGATAGACAGGTATATAATGAGATATCTTAGGCGTTTCATTGGAGATGTTGATGGGTTCCCTTCTTGATGGATATGTGTTTTTTTGGCTGTTGATATGTGCAAAATCGGCAAACACTGGAGGATGTTGGACTTATCGTTGATGTGGAGGTGAGTCCTGTACATATCAAGAATCTTGTCAATAATCAGTGGTTGTTCCGAAAGGAATCGTCTTCAATCCAGCCTTGATGTGTTTCAAAGCCAGGAGACAGAAAGCCACTCGATCCATAGGTAGCGTCTCTTCAAGATCCACCGACCCAGGACTAAGGATAGAGGTGTGTAGATCTTTCCCATGGCCACCTGAGTTTTTTTGAGGACGTTTTTCTTGGTTTCAAAGCAGGGTTTGTTTTGAGGAATTCACTCTTTGTCAAAAGGATGAAGCAATTGGGTGTCTCCATGGCCATGTGGTTTACACCCCAAAATGGCCATGGAAAATTGGCCAATCAACCAGTGCTTTCCGGTTCGACTTCCCAACCGTTGACGACGAACTTTTTCCAAGCCACGTACAAGGAGCTGTCCATCCCCAAGCCCATGGACATGCCGGCCAACGCGCTCACCACCGATTGCATCAAGCCCAGGAGCAAAAACTTTGGTAAGCTCCTGGAGCTGAGATTTTTCCGAGCGAAACAACTTGGGCTGACGACTCGGTGGGAAACCCCATCCGAAAAACCCGTGGGGTTCCCGGCATGGCGAGAAATCCCAAAAAATACATGTCTGTCATGTCTGCTTGGAGTGCAGCTTGTGTTGGAAGTTCACAAGCCAGATCTTGCCAAATCCCAAAAAATGATTCACTCATGTGGTAAAGCCAATAAGCCCAAAATCATCCCCAGTCATGGTAGGTTTCCGGCAGGCCCAGCCATTTCCTGCCTGGGATTCCATGCCTCCGCCAGGCCCTTGAGGCCTCGGGTTGACCAAGGATCAATCATGGCATTTAACAAGGATTTTTCCTATCTCAGATCTCGAATTCCTATGGAATTTCTTATCTCAGATCCATTTTTATCAGATCTATGATGATCTCCTATCTCAGATCTATGATGATCTATGGAATTTCACGAATTCATCACAACATTTAAGGATATGAATGGCTTTGGATGGAATTTAGCCACGGATTTGACTAAGAACATTTAATGTGGGATTCACCCAATGGTGATGCTATGGTCCACCCTTTTATGGCAATATTGGGGATGGTTCATTGGTCTACCACGTTGTGGATGGAAATTAGCCACCAACTATGGACTTAACTCATAACAGTGAAGATTTAACCAAGAAAACATGAAGTGAACCAACCCAAAAGGGTAATTTTACCAACAACATCGGGGTATTGACTGACTAAAGTGGGGTAATTTTACCAACAAAAAAATCCAGATATCATCCACAAGAAATGGATAGCTTGATCAGAAACACGGGGATTGCAACCAAAGGATCTGACGAACAAATGTGATGATATGGTTTTAACAAAAATAAACAACGGTGGCTGGGTCAAAAACTTCGTAAAATCATCTGCCACGGGGGTCAGCGATGCCACTCAAAACTGGTTGTGAGCTGGAACAGACAAAGATCACCGCTGGAATCTTTGGATCATTTGGATGCAACTCCACTAGTGTCGGTGTTCTCTGGAGATTATGTTTTTTTTTCCAGAAGGATGGCTGGATTGAATTGATGACTCCAGTTTCCTTAGCCTATGACTTCATGCCAAGGGGCCATAGGATTGCAGGGTCAGCACATGGGCAAAGCTCAAACCACAAAGTGGAATGCCCACTTGCAAAGATTGAGGAACAAAAAATCGATTTGCTGACGCCGTATTCCTCAATCGAAGCTGCAAGCGCTGCAGTCGGATGGTCGCACGGAAGATTCTGTGCGAAAGCACTGAAGATTCATGCGGATTCGGCAAAACTCACTCTGAATTCACCGCAAATCATACGATTTAGTATGTAAGTGTACAATAAACTAACTACCATCTGGTTATTTAACATAGCCATGGAAAATCCCCATTTTTAATAGGTAAACCATCTATTTCTATGGGCCATCTATACCATGGCTATGTAGAATCAGTATCCCCTGGTCATGTCTTTGGGCGTCTGAGGTCCCGTAACATGAGGCATCCAAGACTCGTCAGCTCAGTCTGCAGAGCATTGGAAATGATGTAAAAAACCTCGGCAAACGGCGGCACCGATGGGGGTTAGGTCCTGTTATTTCTGTCGAAACAGCCATGTTGCCAACCCCCGGAAGGCATTTCCCAGTAACACAGGAAATCCCCTGACACCTTTGTCAAGCGCAGGTTCTCAGAACATTAAATCAAGGATGGACAAAAACACCTTTTTGATATTTGGAACCCAATGGATTTCGGGGGGTATTGGGTATTTGATGTATTTGGAACTCTTGACAACTTGATCAATAGTTAACAGGGATATGAAAACATCTCGTTGCAGTGCATCCATTCGCACACCCGCACCCGCATTCGCACGACATCCGACATCCGAGGTCCGCGCTGGTAAACAATAGACCAACAAATTGCAGCGCGGTATGGTTTGATTCCCATTCTCCTGCACCAAAGCTGGGATATGGGGGTTTCCTAAAAGAGTGGTACCCCTAAATCATCCAATTTAATAGGATTGTTCACGATTTTCCCTTATAAACCATCCATTTTGGGGTACCCCATTTATGGAAACCCGCATGTTTGGTCAATGTGTTTTTGTGCCAAATGCACCTCAATGGACTCAGTGACTCCATAAATTTCCAAGACTTTGAGCGTCGAAGAAAGTCCGCAAAAATATGTCTTCAAAAGAGATCAAAGCGCCTGGAATCCACAAAGGATGCTGTAGAGGTAGCGTTTCAAACTTCTAAAACCTCCCACCTGGCAGCGGTAGTGACTAAGTGGCTTAAAATGGTGAGATTTGTAACAGAAATATGTCCGCAAAACTTGAGTGCCATCTGGTGAGGGGAGTTGGTCTGACCATATGGGATGGTGTGGCTTCAAAGTGGCTTAGGGTGAGAGTCTACCAAATTTGCACCTGGCTATGCATTAAAACCATTCCATTAACCAACCATTTAGCGGCAACAAACAACATCATCCCATTACGAGGAGATACTATGAGTGTGGAGTTTCATCCATGTGCTGCCACACCGACCGAACGCCTCCAATGAGATTTGGGGCCCAAGCTCTAATGGCCAAACCAACGGTGGCCCAAGGAAAGCCACGCATTTTGAATGAGGAAATCAAATGAAGGTATCATTAAACATATGTGATAATTTGTGTGGGTATGTAGCCATCAATATAAAAAATATAAACATTAAACATTGGCTATTGATTGAAAATGATGATCCCATTTGCTGCAAACTGGTCCTGAAGCCTGGTTTTGAACGTTCCCGAACTACTGTTTACCCATGAAAAAAACAAACATCCCGATATATATGTATATCTGTATATATATATATATGATATGTAATGTAATGTAATGTAATGTAATGCAATGTAATGTAATGCAATGCAAGATGGCGGATGGCTCCGAGTTTACCACCTGACCACCTTACCTTGACCCGTAAATGGCCAACTGATACCATCTGCCCACCTCTTGTTCGGGAGAAACACCTGCCCTTTCTCGAAGAAATTTCATATTCCTTGCACAAGGCGAGCCACGGCAAGGGCTTACTGCGGCTTCCACTTGGAAATCACACACTGTTGGAAGAATGGATTGGTTTTCACAGGGAAAATCTAGTTGAAACCATGGCTTTTTACCCCCAAACATAGCGGTTTCCTGCAAAGCTCGTCTTCCATGCTTCTATCGGAACGGGTTTCGGATCACAACCGTGATCCGCAGGTGAAGCTTACACCAAATTCCAGTGGTGTAACACCTGTATCATCATCCCCTCAAACTTGCGATTCTGGGCTATACCTTATGTTCTGGACAAACCCAAATGTGTGCTTGTCCTTTATCAATCTCTTGTACGTCAAGTTGCACACACTGTCAGTCCATTTCAGTGCTTGTCTGGTATTACCTGCAAGCCTTAAACCAGTTTAAAACACTGTGATTGACCCAAAACTTGTAGTCTTCTCATCTTCTGGACTTCTCGGATTCCAAGAGACATCAAATTAAAAAGGTAGTAGCCTCGGCTACAAAATTGACTTCTATCATTCCGAAGCTCAATCGCCCAGTTTGGAAGAGAATGGCACTCATGACCACGATGAAGGCTATAAGAAGTGATGGAACAGCGCGAATGCCAAAGTTGTGTCCTTAGCACGCGCACGTCCTGTGTACCTTCACTTAGGCATGGCACCCCACATCCAACAGGGAGAAACATCTGCAATTTCAGAGGCATCATCATAGGCATCAAATGGTTTTGTCCTTCTTTTTAGTATATTTCCCAATTGCTACGATTTACTCATGGTTTTACCCCTTAAAAATAGCCGCAAGAAATCTTGGATATGGGTTTGTCTGCAAATGGAGGAGCACCCTCAAATTGATATCTTCTATGGGGAAAGTGAAGGAATTCACCATGATTTTTACCCAGTGTAATTGGGCTATCCCGGAGTGTCCACATCCATCTTGGTAGACCTGGCAGACCTGACATGGCCATCTTGGTAGACCTGACCTGCCGGACCTGGCTGCCCAAGAGTCCCTGATCAATGCCATACAGGGGATCAATGATGCAGAGACCCAAAAGGCCCATGACGGTCTGGATCAACGACTTGGTCACCTCGCGAGGTGGGGCGCTGCTGGATGGTTCTGCGGATTTTTTATTGCCAAATTTCTGCTGGGTCAAAAAAAATTGAAATGAAGTGCAAAAGAAACAACTCCGATCAAATGATCGAATCCATAAATCATCAATGATGGGGATCAATTACAGAATAATGCAAGCATTCGAAACAGAAACATGGGAGGAATTGAGAACAACCGATCACAGGCACCCCCCATGGACCAAGTTTCAGATGGAGCTGGGGAAATTTGAGAAACCAGTCATGGATGGCTCAGCAGTCGCACGATGAGACTATTTTGGTGTATCTTGGTAGTGGTTAGTTTCATGTTGCCTGATCATCCTTATTTTGAAAATGTTCAATTCCATCGCTCTTTTACATTCTTTTGCCTGATCTTCTTTCTCTTAGGTTGGTCCTACGAATAGTATTCAGGCGTCAAACCACTGATTGGCTTTGAATCCCTGCTCTTGGAATTGTGATCATCCACCCAAAATATGGGCGGCAGTAAATCCGAATTCCGACCCAGGCAAAAAAAGAATGTAAACATCGCAGTTGCACCACACTCCTGTTTCAATAGCATCCACGTTCTTGCTATGAGTTTGTTGTTTGCAGCCGAAGCTTTCACAACGAGCCTCCCCACAACGGCATCCTTTTTTGCCTCCCCTGACCTAACGCACAAACCAGAAATTTTATATCATAAACATAATGAAATACCCTTATGATATATCATTACGTATGGTATAATGTACCATGTAACAATACCCAGAGGACGAGGGTATGGCCCGGAAGGCCATACCCGAGAGCGGAGCTAGCAACCCATTGGCTCCATCATCCCAGTGCCAGGGGATTTCCTTGTCATAACATTTCCTTGTCATAATCTCCCGGCCCCATGGAACATATACGCATACTTCCATTAGGGGTTTCATTGAGGGTTTACATAAGTTATAAAATCCCCCGGCCCCATGGAAAATATAATATACGCATACCTCTATTAGGGGTTGCATTGTGGGTTTACATAAGTTATAAAATCCCCCGGCCCCATGGAACATATACGCATACTTCTATTAGGGGTTTTACTGAGGGTTTACACAAGTTATAAAATCCCCCGGCCCCATGGAACATATACGCATACCTCCATTAGGGGTTTCATTGAGGATTTACATAAGTTATAAAATCCCCCGGCCCCATGGAACATATACGCATACTTCTATTAGGGGTTTCATTGAGGGTTTACATAAGTTATAAAATCCCCCGGCCCCATGGAACATATATGCATACTTCTATTAGGGGTTTCATTTAGGGTGCAGCATACTTCTATTAGGGGTTTCATTGAGGGCTTACATTGGAACATATACGCATACTTCTACTAGGGGTTTCATTTAGGGTTTACATAAGTTATAAAATCCGGACTCGCCAAAAAAGTGGAAAAGATTGAAAAAGTGGAAACGGCCGAAACGCGTGAAGTCCGCAGAGGGTTCACTTTTCTCACTGTTTTTTTCAAAAAATCCTCTTAGACCACGCTAACTCACAGATGTACAAGAGTCATAAAACACTGCGCCTGCGCAGAGAAACGAGCCTCCCACTGACGTTCACACGACCATTCCGGGACAACCCTCAGTCCTGCCCGTAACAATACAACATATAATTTAATTTATAATATACCAGATTCTAGATATGTACGTATGATATAGAATATGTTACTTATTATATAATGTACTGATATGTTACATCATATGGTATATGATTATATAGTTATTAGAGAAGAAAAAGAAAAAGTACATATGTCATCGCAATGGATATATAATAGACAATAATATATATATATATCATATATATAGTATATAATGACATGTAACAATGCAACATATGATACGAAGCATATGATATTATATATATATGTGGGATACATATGACATATATATATAGTGTGTAATATATGATAAATGATATGTAATGTACACTGTACAATGTATTGCACAGTATTGTATATCAATATTACCCCGCTGCCCACCAATTCACCCAGTACCGCCTCAACTCTCCCAACTTGTCTCTGAGTCACCGTGGAGAAATGCATCACCACCAATCCGGCCCACCACGCTTGGGCCGCATGAACACAGACCAGCACATAGTGTTTCGCAGACCACTGCCCTCAGCACGCCGGTTAGTCATCTTCCAAACCCGAGCTGAGGGAGTAAATACCCCTGTGGGGGTTGTAGATATGATAGATATATCATGATGTACCATGATATCTATGGCATCTATGGTTACATGATGCTTAATGGGGGTTACAAACTAGCAAAATTCCCAAAAAACATCCTGTGAACATCGGCTCCAAGTAGCCGAATAAGACTCGAGTGTTGGACAGCGAATCGTCGTGCACTAAGAAGTGCTGCCACAGCCAGACTGCTGATAGAAATAAGCCCGCGCTAAAGTCGAGGTGTACGCGGTGGATGTAGTACTTCCCATGGTTGAAGTCATCCTCAGTCATCCCCCCCTATGAAACACCTCCGAGGGGATGAGATGAGTTACCAGGGATCCACCAGATTGGTAAACACCCTGCAACAAAAAACATATGTTGGTCCTATTTATTTGTCATCTACCCAGAAACATAGATGAACCAAGTACAAACAAATAAGGTACTTTTAATGTGCTTTTGTATGTCTAAGTTGGTTTTAGCCGCTTTAGCCCATCCTAATTATGCTATACCTGGTTTCATTGCTTTAACATACTACAACCTACAACCATATCAACCATATCCCATGAGGGTCCCATGGGGTCCCAGCGTCGCGACGGTCTCTTCGATTGATGCCTTTGGAGAAGTTCTTAAAAAGTCGCTCCGCCAAGATCGATGCAATGGCACTCAAGGACACACCTGGCGAACTCAGGGTTTCAGGCATCCCAAGATTTTGATTTGAGGTCATGCAAAAGTGATCCTCATAGCATTGTACTCAAAAAAAAATCCCGGCACGAGACCCCAAACAGTGTGGGGGAGTGGGAGGATACTGTATGATGGTGTGGATGTTGATGGTGATGATGATGATGATGTTGATGATGTTGATGTTGATGTTGATGTTGTTGATGATGATGATGATGATGATGATAGTGGTGGTGGTGATGATGATGATGATGAAAATGCTGCGGGCGATGATGTTGAGGATGATAATGTTGCGGAAGAGGAGGTGGAGGAGGAGGATGTTGCGGAAGATGGGGTGGAGGAGGATGTGGAGGATGATGATGTTGAAGGGGATGAGGATGAGGATGAAAATGCCGAAGATGAAGTTGAGGATGATGATGTGGAGGATGATAATGTGGAGGAGGAGGAGGAGGAGGAGGAGGAGGAGGATGTAAAAGGATGATAACGTTGCGGAAGATGAGGTGGAGGATGATGATGTTGTGGAAGATGTGGAGGATGATGATGTTGAGTATGATGATGTCAAGGGGAGGAAGATGATGATGTTGAGAATGATGATGTTGAGGAGGGGCAGTCGAAATGCACTTGGCGATTTCACAAGAGCCACTTTATACGGAAATTTACACGAAAAATACCGCCACCCCCGGGTGAGCCCAGAACGCAGACACACACACTTTGCGCGAGCCTGCGCATGCGAATGCACTTGGAGATGAAATTTCAAGGACAAATGCCGCGCCCCAGAGTGAGCTCAGAACGCAGACACACACTTTGTGCGAGCCTGCGCAGTCGAATTGCACTTCAACATTTCACAAGAGCCACTTTATACGGAAATTTACAGGAAAAATGCCGAGCCCCAGCTGGAGAAACCTGATCAAGCACCAGCCTTACAACTACCGTAAGAATCTCTCAGTGTGGACACACTGTTTGGGGAAATATAGATGAAGAAATATCCCAAAAGAGCTATGAATAATCATAATCACATACAATATTATGGATAAGTATACTGTAGACATAGATCGAGATGTAGTTAAAGCCACCAACCCAAAGAACCTTAGATCGTCTTGTGTTTGTTTACAACATAGTGTATAGTAACATATCATATGGAGGTTTCCTGAAATAGGGTGCCCTTTTAGATTGGGATTTTGCAATATAAACCATCCAGCGATAAAGGGGTACCCCCATGACTATGGAAACCCCCATCATTATATACATGTGCATATAATATTGATCATTATTAACCATTATGAATTGGAAACGGGATCGTCAAATGCCCAACTTTTACCACGGCAGCGCGGTATGACTCAAGGGCCCTAAAGCCAAATGTCAACGGGGCATGTGATCACTTCGCTATACAAAATATACATTAGACATGTCAAACTCACACTCAACCTGTTCTTCAAGGATCACATGATGCTAGTGAAAAAGTTGGCTCTAAGGCTTCTTCTGTACACGATAAATGCACTCCTTCAAAACGCGGATGATGAGGTCCGGGCGCATGCTCTTGGTCAGAGCATCCGAGACCATAGTTCCTGTAGCAATCCAGGTAACAATGTCTCCTCCGCCATGATGCATATCCCAGGTCCTCCGGCCGTCTTGCCAAAGTGACTCATGAATCGACTGCAACTCAATGCCGAGTCGTTTGTCTGCGACCCTGCCAAGTACCTCATTCGCGAGATGGTCTGTTAAAGACCTGCAGTCTGAAAGCATCAGTTGTGGAATGCAGCTGCGGCTGTCATCCAACCATGTTTTCATCGAGTCAAGTTGGCCCATCAGCTCGGCCAATGCTCCACGTAGCTTGTCACCGCTCTCTTGTCCAGCCTGCAGTGAATAAGCTTCGCATTGAAGAGTGCTGCGGCATACTCGCCGAATTGTATTTGATGCAAATCCCAATGGCATCACCCTGTAGGATGTAGTCTTGGGGTCTTTGATCTCATTGATGTCTCCAAGAAAATGGAAACGACCTTGTTGTGATTTGTAATTCTTCTCATTTGAAAATGAAGCATCTGTCACTGTAATGATACCAATCTCTCCCCAAGTTAAATGACCACCTGGGAAAATAAGTTTGTTATCAATGCCTTGATGTGCCAGCTGTACCACGGCATTTGCGTCACTCAAAACGGCAACTGTTGCTCCAGCAATGCTGGACTGTAGACGACTCACACGATAACCCAAATCGGGTCTAGTCTGCCTTGCCACCCATACCAATGATCCCGTTACTGATCGTAATCGGGTCACATCATCCTTACCCAACGGCTCGGACGCTGATCTTCCTGGCGCGATCTTGATCGGCTTGATGCGACGGGTGTTGTCACAAGTGTCTTGTGTGATTGTTCCATCTGCAGTACGCTCAAATTGCTTGCCACAATAGCGAAACGAATTTGATTCACTTGATCCCAAGTTGAACTTCTCCAAGAAGCTGTCGATCACTGACTTTCCCTCAGGAATGTATGCGTACAAGATGTCATCCACATGTGTCGCCATAAGTGCAACGCAATCTTTGTCGGTTCCTGGAAGGAAATACAATCCTGGGTAAAACTTGGATTGTTTCAAGCCACTGGATCGGGCATCTCCGTCCAACCTCAACCAAAAACCTCGACCGCTGTCAGTCAATCCATATATAGGCACCCGCACAAGGAAAAACACCTCTGGATCAACTCCCAGGAGACCTCCCCGGGGTTGTCTCATAATGAGAACTCTATCAAGAGGACGACCTTGGAAATATGCGGATGCGACGTCCGCACTGTGCAATTGTGCGCCCTGGATCGCCGCCCAACAGCAAAGAATGTTGTGAGCTTCCGTATCTGCTGTAGGACTGTCTGATCTCAAACCTTCACTGACTTCGAAATTGCCGCATGATACCAACCGGCTCTTGAACTTTGGCACATATTCTTGATCTGATCTTCCTTTCATGAACTGATTCTTGTCGACATCAACCCACTTGCTAGGAATACATTGATGTCCTTCAGCAATCAACCTCTCAGCATCTTCTTTTGAGATTTCAACAACAGCAGCGAACTCAAGGAACTTGCTCCACTCCTTGGTTCTGGCATCCATGATGTTCTTCTGTACATCAGGTGACGCTGATTCATAGTGGATTGATTTCAACACTTTCTTACCTTGCTCTTCGTCCTCAGGGACTTCAACTTCCTGGGACAAAAATGATGCAAACAATGCTCGTGCTTCTTGTTGTTCTTCAGGACTTCGTTCTGAGTCTCTCTCACGAGCTCTTTCAAGATGTGTTCGCAATTGATGTGGCAAGTCATTCAAAAGTTCTCTTCGTAATGGCCAAGATGATGCTGACGGCGAGGATAGTGGTGCTCCCAAAACGGAGCCACTTGGAGTAAGATCAGGCACAAAGGAGTCTCTTCGAGATGGCACAAGTGATGAGCCTCTCTCCGACTCAGGTTGTAACTGAGACTCTACTCGAGGTCTCACGTTGCGTTCATGACCTCCATCTCCTGGACGTGGTCTTTCAACTCTTCTCTCTGGGGTTCTACTCTGTGAAAAGATGTCTTCTTCCATAGGACCAGTGTCTTCCTCCTCTTCACCTTCTTCAAAGAAACCGGGTCGTATGTCCCATTCATCTTCAGATACTTCTGGTATAGGAGGGAGTGCTGAATCCACATTGTCCTCATGGACAACCTCAACATCATCTGCTTGTCCTGGACCATCACGAACAACTTCAACCTCATCTGATTGTCTTGCATCAAGAATGATGATCTTGTATGGAATCACAGGTTCACCATTCAACACTGATTGAGCAAGAGCTTCAGAAGGGGAAGCAATGCGTATGTTGTGAGAAGCTACAAGTACCGGAACGTTACCACATAGTAACCATATGTTCTTCTGGTTCTCGTGTCCGATCACACAACATGTTGGTGACCAGGACGTTCCTCCTCGCTGATTGTCTCGTCTGAAAGTGACGAGGTCACCAATGTTGAATTCACGATCAAACACACTGGCATTGCGTGTCAACGCTCGTTGAACTCTTCTTGAACAATCAAGATGAACAAAAGCCTTCTGTGCCTCAATCCTGGCCAAATGTTGTAATGCAAAAATTGATGAAGGGTCATGTCGGGCCTGAATGGCTCCGAGCTGTGCGTGATCTTCCTCTGACATGAGTGAAGCTACACCACGGGGAGCTCGACCGAGCACCCACTGAGACGGAGAAAAGCCTCCAACACGTGCAGAGTCGTTCTTCACACTGAGCACTTGTGTGATGCACGACTCAACCTGTTCTTTGGTACAAGCCCCAACTTCTGTACACACTCGCCTGAAAAGAGCTTTCAACAAACCACCATGCCTCTCTACTCGGCCCAATGATTCCGGGCTCTCAAGGGGCACATGGTGCACTTGAATGTTATGTTCATCCATGTATTGTTGTAAGACACCACGATTGTGCAAACCACGGTCACACATGATAGCAACAGGATGTCCTGCCCAACTGAACCAACGTTTGATGAGTGCGTCCAAACAGGATCGCGAAGAAGCTTGGCCTGCTCCAACCTTCACAACTTCAGCCTGTTGAAAACAAGTGCCAATACAAACCATGTTGAGAACTTGATACTTCTGCCCAGTTATATCTGTCAACTCCAGTACATCAATCCCCAAAGTATGGTTGAATGTATAATCACTTGGAAGCGTAACTTTGTGAGTGGGTTTCTTTGCTGATGTTTTCTCACATGTTTCACATCTATGCAACTTCACTGCATCAACAAACTCCTTACTCACCTTTGCAGCACGCACCAGATTGACCATCACCATCTTGGGGACATGTCCAAAAGCCCTGTGCAACCTACGCACAGCAATCCTGACACGCTGAGGAAGTTTACGCCAAGACCTACGTCTTTCTGTTTCATCCTCTGGCAAACCAGGGATATCAACTTCATCCAAAAAAGTCTCTTCATGTGTCAGGTCCTCAACCGGATCCTGCAATGCAACGTCTTCTGGGCCATCAGCTG